TCCCATGCTTTATTTTCTGTCGGTAAGTGGACCGTGCCATTTCAATTTGTGCCATGTGACACTTTGCAGCATCTGACATTTTTCCTTTAGCTCTCTGTCTACTAAATCACTGATTTATATGCGCCATTCAATCAAATTTGAACTGAAGTCCCTGTGGGGTGTTGGGCAACGCGTCTGCTTTCTGTGAAGATGAGCTTTCATTTAAATGTGTAGCATATAGTCTTGGATTTTCCTCATGACCTGTTGGAGCAGACTGTGAGGGACCGTGGCCTCTTATCGAGTTAAGAATTTGCTCTGACCCTAGGGCTGCCTCTTTTATTTGTCTAATCATAGTGGAGGAGGGAGGAGATGAGGGGGAAGGGAGGCAGTGAAGAGGAATGGCCCCCAGATTCCATTAAAAAAGTTGGGTTCTTGAAACAGCTGTTTACCTTTGGAAGATGTCACCAAAGATAAACTGCAAGAGGTCTATCTGATAGAAGACTGCTTTACTGTAAACAAGACAGACTGGGATATTAAAACCAGTTTGAGTTTGCCCTCAGTGGGAACAATTATAGAAGAGGGTGCTTTGGAGCCAGTGAAGTTATAGAAGAAAAGGGAAAGACAAAGACATTTATCTTAGCTAAAATGGAGGCATTTCTCTTCCTTTCTGTTTTGTGTTTTCTTTCATTCTGCTCTGTTAAATTCTTCCCTAATGTTTTATCTCCCCGTGCCATCTACTGGTTCCTCCCAGAGACATCATGATTCCTGGTAATCGAATGCTGATGGTCATTTTAGTATGCCAAGTCCTGCTGGGAGAGAGCAACCATGCTAGTCTGATACCTGAAGAAGGGAAAAAGAAAGTACCCGGCCTGCAGGGTCGTTCGGCCGCTCAGAGCCATGAACTGCTGCGGGACTTCGAGGCCACGCTGCTGCACATGTTCGGCCTCAAGAGGCGGCCGCGGCCCAGCCGCTCAACCCCAGTGCCTCGCTACCTGCTGGACCTTTACCGGCTACAGTCAGGGGAGGCTGAGGAGGCTGGGGGGGCCGGCGGGCATGCCATTTCTTTTGACTACCCAGAGAGGTCAGCCAGCCGAGCCAACACTGTGAGGGGCTTCCACCATGAAGGTAAGGGAAACAGTTATGGATGCTTTGGTGATATGGAGAAAATAACAAAGGACATGCAGACACATTACACTATAATCAGGGTCACTAATGCCAGGCATTCCAGTAATTTCTGTAGTATATTTTCATTAGCATCTGCAATGATTTATAAGTATAGTATAAGAATCCTACATCCCTTGAAACATGATTGTAAGACAGGTCCACCCATTTCACCATAACCAAGGAATCTAAGGATGTGGTCACCAAACACTGTCTACAGAGGGACAAAAATAATACTAATTCTACTAGATAAGCTCTCAAGAGCCTCATGTGACAGAACTCTGCGTGTTTGGTTAGCAGTCTGAGGAAAAGCATACTTTCATATTACTGACTTACATTTACACTCACTCCACCCAGCAGAACAAGGCTTAAAAAAGTTTGGTGTTGGCCTGGAATTCTAGGCCTTCCTTTCTCATGATTTCAGTTTATATGAAGGGCTCTTTAAGAAGGACCTTCCTCAACATGCAATTATCTTTAATGCTACTCTGCAGCCTTCTAAATAAAGCCCCTACTGCCAACATTGTGGGTGCTGAGAGCAGAAGCTGCAGCTCTTCTGAGAGATGGAAAAACAGTCTCTCTCTGTTTACTGGGACTTGGATCTGCTTAGTTTTAGCGACAAGTGCAGAGTCTTCAGTTAGGCTTGGAGAAACTCCATGTTGACTGATCTGTTAAATGTAAGTTGAGGTTGAAAAGCTAGACTTAAACATATCTGGCAAATTCTTGAAAACCATTTTCTAAATTGGCAGAAGATTCTGAGCTGACCCAGAGTTCACAAGTGATGTTATGATCTTGTAGTGAAATGAACTGAGAAAACCGGGGAGCTTTAGGGCTACATAACATGTCCACCCTTAGGGGGAGGAGTGAGGAAGGAGGGATGAGTCAGCCTTAACAGGGCTTGTCAAACACACTGCTAGTGGTAACACATGCCAACACAACAACGTACCAAGGCTAATGAGGAAGAAAGAGCACCACCGCTGGAGGAGGAACTTCTGCCTGTGATGCAAGTGTATGTGCATGCATATGTGTGTGTCTGTGTGTGCTGCTCTCTGCAGGCATTTACCCTCCTTCTCCTTTGCTAAACTATGTTAATAATACGCTTGGAGGCCTTTCGAGTGGGAGTACTCGCTTCTATGGAAGCACCATTGTGCGATAGTGTGATTCAGTTGACTGATAGGTCCAAAACACAGTGAGGTATTAAAGTCTGGAGCAGATGGACAATTAGCTGAGACAATTTTACAGGCAAAGGGAATCATGTAAGTATTCATCTTGAACTCAGCAAGAAAGATGTGTTTTTTGTCGGTTGGCTTTAATGTCCAATCAGACAGCACATGAGAAGGTGTGTGTATACATCTTTCAAAGTTTTGACTGCACTGCATTCCCACGCAACACCTTTCCCAGTGGGCTTCAGATAAATGCGATTCTACTGTACTGTTTGACTCCTTAATGATTATTCATGATGAAAATGATAAATGTCTCAGGTGAACAAACTCCAGAACTAATCAAAAACACAGCAGGTTTTAGTAATGAGAACCACCTGTGTGAGATTAGGGCCTGGGTGTGAAATAACCAGGGTGGATTGAGCAGGAAAATAGCAGACACAACATTCCTTTTCCCAACAATGGTGATCTTACCAGAAACCTGGATGCAGACTGAGCATGGAACAGGGAGACTTCACTGTGTTTATACTGTAGCTGTGGTACGTTAATCACCACCCTCCTTGTAAATCATGTTTCAGCAAAGTGCTCGAGAATGGCATTGAGAGAAGGGCTGGACAATTTTTATAGATAGATAAGCATCTGTGAACAATGTATAGGTATATTCTTGAATATCCCAGAGACCTTTAAAAGTGTGCACGTACATTCTTTTGTGTCAATTAACAATATAGAGAGAAGACGCATGACGTTAGCACAGCTCAAACCCGTGTTTCATAGTTTTACCTGTTAGTACTGCCAGAGCTTTGGAAGGCAAAGACCCCAATAATACAGATGGACAAGAGATACAGTATCTTTATAGAAACTTCAATATTTAAATATTTTTGAATTGATAAAATGTACACCTAAAGCAAAGTTGTGTTTATTTTCTACGCAGTGCAGCTGTAGATAGTACCCACAACATTACAAATATGATGCGCTTGAGCAAATATCCCACATTTCCCTTTTGCTAATTTTCAGAGTACATGGAGAAGGCGCACGAGCTGGACGACGGAGAGACCACGCCCCTTCGCTTCCTGTTCAACCTCAGCAGCGTTCCAGAGGACGAGCTCCTATCTTCAGCTGAACTGAGGCTCTACCGTCATAAGATTGATGAGGCCGTCTCTGACACTGTCTCAGATGAGCAGGGGCTTCACCGGATAAACGTGTATGAAGTGTTGAAGCCCCCTCGGCCTGGGCAGCTGATCACACAGCTTTTGGATACGCGACTTGTGCGCCACAACATGTCCCACTGGGAGAGCTTTGATGTCAGCCCTGCTGTGCTGCGCTGGACTCGTGAGCGTCTACCAAATTATGGGCTCGCTGTGGAAGTTCTACACCTCAGCCAGACACGGCGCCATCAGGGCCGACATGTTCGAATCAGTCGCTCACTACACCAGGAACCTGGTGAGGACTGGGAGCAAGTGCGCCCCCTCCTGGTTACATTTGGCCATGACGGGAAGGGTCACCCACTGACCCGCCGGACCAAGCGCAGCCCCAAGCAGCGGGGCCGTAAACGTAACCGCAACTGCCGGCGCCATGCACTGTACGTGGACTTCAGCGACGTAGGCTGGAACGACTGGATAGTGGCGCCCCCTGGTTATCAGGCTTATTACTGCCATGGGGAATGTCCCTTTCCGCTGGCAGATCATCTGAACTCTACCAACCATGCCATTGTTCAGACACTGGTGAACTCTGTAAACAACAATATTCCCAAGGCCTGCTGTGTGCCAACAGAGCTCAGCGCCATCTCCATGCTCTATCTAGATGAACATGACAAGGTGGTCCTAAAAAACTACCAGGAAATGGTAGTGGAGGGCTGCGGCTGCCGCTAACACACAAACTAACTAGAACTTGGACTGGCAATTTGAAAAAGCAGGACAGATGCTAAAACAAATTACTACTTATTTATAACTTTTATGTTGAGGTGTATGTTTGTCTCACTTTTTTTGTTTCTTTGACAATATGATCATATATTTTGACAATAAATATATATTTATATATACATATTAAATTAAAAATAAATTGAGTCCTTATTTTAAACATTAAAACAAAGCTGTACAACTTTTCATAATGTACATTAGATTGTATAAGTTTTTTATTGAGAAAATAGTAAAAACAATCTAAAAAGTAAAGTTTATTTACTGGTAATATTTATTGCTTTCATATTATATAATTTTCGAGAAAAAAATAAAACCTGAATTTCTTCCAACAATACGTTCAAGCGGATCACAAGGCACACCCCTGCTTATTTTGCATAAATTAGAGCACTGTGTGAAATTGTTAGAGCACTGATATTTTAAGGGATCAGTTGGCAAAATCAGAAATGTTTAATTGACCACTTGATATTCACATTAAACTGATGATTTTAATAGGCCCCTTAATACTAAATAAATTGTACTTCATGTAAAGTATCTGTAGTAACTATCATTAGGGGGTTGTTAAAAAGTTTCTATTATGGTTTTAACATGAATTTGGATTTAGTCTAAGCCTGGTGTTTATCCTGGTGGCCTTTCAATGTATTCAGATCACTTTTTAGCTAAAACAAAGGTAAAAGCAGAGAAATCTTTTTGATGCTCTGTCTTTCCCAAATAAAAGAATGTTTGGTTTATTATCTGGCATTTCACCAGCTTTGAATGATTCACACTTCATCAACGTAAGAGCAGTAGTGGAAATTATCACCTTGTAGTTCTGCGTTTTCTCAATTTTCAGTAACAGAAGCTGTTATTGAAATGATATGCCATTTCAAAGCTAGCCGGCCCTTGGGTTAAGGTCTTATTGCTCTCAGATTTCACTTTTATGTCAATTAGGATAACGTGGTGGTTGGACAGTTAGTAATCCAATTGCACTCGGGGTGGGTTGTTATGCCTGATTGTGGGAGATTGATTCTATTGTTCTTGACGTCCCCACATTGGCTGTGGCCGATGCGTCCTGCCCTGATACAAGGCGGCTGGGTCTTCAGAAGAATCAAAGCTTAGACGCTCTGTCTCCTGCCTTTGTCTTCAGCGGCTCATGCTGGCAGGGCAAAGACGCCTGTCTCCAACCTGTGCCCTGTCACACAATAGGCTTCTACATCACTTATTTACAAGCTGACGGCTGGCCCAAATTATATGATAATGTTTGGGGAAAGTGACTCCTTTGAACTGTTGGGACATTGGCTATGCACTGATTTGAAAAGTGTGTGCTGGACAGCAGCATATCTCGGGGGTAAACCACTGGACATTATTTAATTATAAAGATTATATTATAATCCCCCTTTTTAAAATGCTCAAATTTTTAAATTCAATTTTAAAACTTCACATTAAATTAATGTCTGCCTCAAGAAAAAGACAAAACTCTTTTTTTGTTAGCCAGGGCTCCACTGGAAATACTTGTAAGTGCTCCGTTATGTCAAATATATTGCAGATAGCATTAGGCGATTTCTTTTAATGACAAGTGAGGTTTGTTAGTTTTTCCTACTGGAGCATGTGGAGCCCCTCAGGCCCTCTGATGGCTGCTGGGTTTCTCTTTGATGCCTGCATATCAGCGTCACAAATGAGGGAGACTGCTAAAGGAGGAGAAGACTGAAGAATTTCATTTTGAAGTGGCTGAAGGCAGACGAGAAGGAGCTGCAGGAGGGTGGGAGGTACATGTGTGTGTGTGTGTGTGTGTGTGTGTGTGTGTGTTCACTGGGGGAGGGGACGGGGGGCACTATCTTCTCAGCAGCTTGACAGTGCAATTACAACATTTCGACTGATCTCCCAACTCTGATCTTGAGATAACATCAGCCAGTTATGGTAATTGTCTTGCCTGTCCATTATCCCACTAGCCTGTACAAAGAGAGGATGCATGTTTATTAAAAGGCCCAGTAAGGGACGTCTATACAAGCTCAGCACGCCTAGTGAGCCTGCTATTTACCACCAGCCTGTTTCAAGTCAAGTCCTGAAAGTTTCTATTTGGAGGAGGAGATGCTCAAGTAGCATCGTGTCTCTAGTCCCAAACTGTCCACTGAACACCATCACAAGATTATCAAGACTTTTAGGAACTAGACAGATAAATGGGATTTTGTGTTTGTGTGTGTGAAGGGAGCTGGGGAATGTGGGGGTCAATTACACAATGCGTCTGTAAAAACAGATAGTGGGCTTTGTCATGCCTATGTGACCTACCTCTCAGCCTCCTGTAAGTGCTCGTTCTCACGCAATTACAGGTGAGTCATTATGCAGCAGGACTATTGACGCTGCTCCACTAATTGACTGGGCGACGTCTTCAAAAAGCTTTTTATTTGGACGTTCCACCGTAAAAGCCAAGTGTTTATAGACAGTAAACCTCTTCTCAGGAACAAAGGAAGGTGATCCTCATTGCTTTGCTCTGTTTGAGTGGGTGGGCTCCATAGCTCTGTGAGATCTTCCTTTTCCCCTCAAAGTTACCAGATGCTAGAGATGTCAGTGTGTAATTCATGTTTTCAGGTAAGTTGTGACACAAAACACAGCAGAACCATAACTGTTACAGATGAAAAATGTATTTTTTGTTTCAGTAAAGTTAAAAGGGAAGAAAAAAACTTTATAAGAGACCTAAAATCTGAATTAAACAGCAGCAAGACAATGAAACACTTTTGCTTATGTGGCTTTACACATTTATTTTCATATGAGTTTAAAAACTGCAATACTACAATAATGGTGGGGATTTCCTTTAGGTCTGGTCTTTCACACTGCCATGTTTTTACAACAGCATCTAGGAGTGGTAAGTAACAGCATCACATACACGCTGACAGTCTTGTACCTTGAGGACATATCCACTCGCACAGCATCAGACTACTGTTTTTTGCTATTGAATAGTATGACACTTATTTTTCAAGTGGACAAATTCTAAAAATTTGAGGTGACTGACTTGCTTGTTTGTCCAACTAACAGTTCAAAATGCAAAGAGATTTAAATAAAATGACATAAAAAAGGGGCACACAAAGTTAGGTGAACAGTGGTTTAATTTGCTGAGACCAGCTGAATATCCTGCAGTATCTTACTGGCAAGGACCTGCCCTCACTAAGTGCGAATGAAAATATAAGGATATAGAATGCTTGTGCATATTTGGTTGCTTGTGCACCTGACGGTTTAGAGGAAGGTTCAGGAGGTGTGTGCCACTCTCAGGCAGTGGCAGACGCCCAGCAGGGATAGAAGAATAGAAGAAAAAAGATTGGAATACAAAAAAGGCGGGAGGTAATGACAATCAAAAGCGGAAGTACGGTGGTTTTGGTGGGTCTAAATAGTGTGAGAACGGACGGGGCATAGTTCAGGTGAGGTCCTGCTCCTGAACTTCACATTTATTATTCTAGCTATTCACTGCAGATTCTTAGCAGATAATGGCCATCATGTCCAATTTTGTTGGTTGACAAAGTTTTGAAATAGCCACAGAAGATAAAACTTTATAACTAGGACACTGCTTCTGCAAAAACAGGCTGCGCTTCAATTTTTCAGTAAGATGCCTCGAATGGAACAGATGAAATCCCATTCACCTCCATTTAATTGGTTATTGGAAAACCAAACCTATCTGGATGATGAGATGCCTCTGGTATAGATGTGTTTTGTGCTTTATGTAAACTGACCCTTGAAGAAAAACAAAACCCCAGTGATATTCTAATATAAAAGAACAAATGTTTAGGGTTCATGTACAGAGGACAGGATGTGGCACATTGTGCTTTACAAGTGGACAGAGTTAGCTGATGCTCTCCTCTTCTGTTCTCTCAGGAGGGGCAATCATGATGATAGCTCATGTCAGTGCTGCTCGAGGTCGGGGCCTCTTGTTTCACTCTCCCACTCATTCTTCCACACACATGCATGGACGCACACACTCGTTCTTTTTTATATTCCTTTAGGGTATATCATTTTTACACAAAGACATGCACAGACATTCGCACACAGGTCTGAAACCTTAGACCCTTCCCGCTGTCCATCTGTAGGGGTTATCTGTGTGACACCTCCTCTCACCCCTGTCTGTAACTCATCTCCACTCATCACACACAGCTCCGCAGTGGCACACGGCAGCTGCAAAGCTCCGTGGTGCATTTAAGGGGATAAGGCTGTCATCGATGGAATAGTTTGACCTCAGGGTCACCAGTACAAAACAAATACACACTGACACATGCTATGTACAGTGCAGGTAGCTGTAGGTAAATGTAGAGGAGCGTGTTGCTCCTAAGGGTTCCGGCACAGGTGAATTCACCGTGAAAACTGAACTACTTCTGTGCTAAAACAATTAGCACAGAACTGATTTAGTGAGCAACAGAAAATGTATTTACAATAATTGTAATATGCAATTCAAAACACTGAACCAAATATCATAGGGAATTCATCACAGAATGTCAGTGAGTGTCCTTACAGCGAGATTACAGCGAGTCTGTGTGTGTGTGTGTGTGTGTGTGTGTGTGTGTGTGTGTGTGTGCTTGCCTGTATGTGCACATTTAAGTACATGTGCCGTTGTTGTTGTTCATGGAGTTAACAGCCCTGGTGTCTGTCAGTGGTGTTAGAAGAAAAACAATGGCGGCCTCTCAAAGAAAGCTTATTAACAGTAATTGCTGCCTGAGTGATTAGAAAGAATATCAGATATTTCCACCTTGACAACTGTTGCCAAATACAACGTACAGTGATGGAGGACTGGGGGCATGGAGTGCGGGTGTGTGTAGTGAGGGTTACACTCTGACTACGCGATTAAAGCCCCTTGACAGTCGTTTCTCTCAAGCCAACTGGGAAAGGACTGCAGTGGAAATTTCCACTTGTCGAAGAAACAACCTGCGGGTTTAAAATTTGGTGTCAAGTGCCAGTGTCGCTGTGTGGACGGAATGCTTCTTTTGTGGGCAAGTCTCTGGTGTAATTTCAGGCAGGGCAGGGTGTCGCTGCAGTAGGCCTTTCTTCCTCAGGCCCTGTGCAGTTTCATTAGATACGGCTAATGAAAAGATGGCTGCTGGACAGCCCGGCCCCC